TTTTTTTTTTCTTTCTAATTGCACTTTTTCCTCCTAAGTGCAAAGGGATTTTGTGAAATAGAAAGTAGGAGCTATGGACATTTTTGAAAATGGAGCAAATGCTGTCTTAAGCAGAAAGGCTTCCAAACTTCTTGACATCAATTCCAAACAGAAAACAATTAGTCTGGAAATGAATAGACACTCAGGTGCAGGCTCCATTACTTTAGAGCAGCAAACACTTTGCTGTACTTCTAGCACAAAGTTTATACWTGCTGTTCTATTCTCTGCTGACTCAAACCATTTTGAAATTTGCAGAAGAAAAAGGTTATGCTCTTAAGCATTCCATGCCTATGCATGGTTTTGGGTACTGTGGAAGAAAAAAGCAAGTGAGTGACAAGTAAATTATAGGACAAAAGTTAAACTGACCACCTGCATTAATTTGTCCACGTGTGAATGGATTTACAGTTCAAAACCAGCAAATATTTTGAGACAATAGATTTCAGCAGTGGCCAAAAAAGCAGTTGAACAGTTTCATGGTCATAATTTTTCTCTAAAAAATATCTAGGGACTCATTAATCTCCAGTGAAATCCTTATGATCTGCCTTTTAAAATGTCCCCAAATAGAAATTTATTATCATGTGGATGATTGCAAAACTTCCAAAGGAGTCACAGTACAAACATTTGTACTGCCAAAGGAAAAACAAAACACAACACATATGTAGAGAAAAAGAAACACCTTCTGGCAGTCATATTTATTCTCACCCATATTTTTTAATTAACACACAATGAAAATGGAAACAGAAATATATTCCACTCAGTGAGGCACAGTTTTCATTTAAATAACACTTGTTTTTTTTTTTTAGGCGACAAATGCCATAAACATAGAGGTGAGATCTAATATTTTCCTTTCCTGGTTTTGAACAACTGAAATTAGACCATCCACACCATGTGGACAAGAGCTTTCACTGTTCAGTTGTTCTGCTTGACTTTACAAATGCTTCAATAATTTGTCTTTGTGATAGAAACTCTTAGATGAAATGCTTCATGCCACCTGTATTCCCAAGGATGTTTTTATCACCCATAGTTTATTACAGCAGACCCACAGTCTGCTGGGATATTGGTCCTCCCCATCTTCTGAGTTTACTACTAGTTACATGATGCAGCTGGATTAGAAGCASAGGAAGACAAACCTACTTTGCTTTTTTTAATATACAAAGGATGTTGCATACATTAGAGTATACGACACTGGATTGAGGAAGTTTATAAATCATAATGAAAAATTTGTTACTCTGGATTTGGTTTATTTGACTAAAACTTATTTCTGGCCCACTGGGTTATAAATAGGTATTCCAGGCTAGTCCCTTTACTGTGTTTGCAGCTTTTCCAGGTTTCCCTAGCAACACCTTCTCAGTAATTTTCAATATTTTCAGTCTAGTTATCGTCTGTTTTAATCCTTACACAGATCTATTTTGCATAAATATTGAGAACAGAGTCTTGCCAGAATTATACTCCATCGAATCTGGTATTCTGATACTGGCATTGGTCAGTGGCAGAGGATTTTCAGGAGTACATTTCTGCAGCAGCAAAAGATCTGGCTTTCATATCATGATGATCTCATCACGATTTCTGACAGTTTCTGCTAAGCTTTCTTGCCATCGCTGGTGGATGATTATACCCTGAATGGACTAGGAAAAATAGTTTTCTATTGTACTTCAGTGCTGGGGACCCCTTCTGTCTCTCTCTCTGGTTATTGCATTGCTGGAACTGTTGAGTTCTTCAAGACAACTTCACATTCAATGGCTAATTTGGGGTTTCTCTTCCACACCCTTGATTAGGCCAATAAAGTTAAGACAAATTAAAGAAGGAAGGTGAGTGTGCRACTTAGCATGGAAGGCTGCATTCAACACAATGGTTTTCCTTTCCTTTGCTCCTAGGCATTGTCAGTTTTATAACTCTGTCGCCTTTGGCTTGCTCATGGCTTGGTTTCTGAAGCTCTGTAGGAAATTGACAGCCCTACCTGAGGCTTGTTTGAATGCATAGTTAATCAGATTACATAAATTTTTGGTCATTTAGCATTTCAGCTGCATATTTATATTATGTAGAACCTAGGAACAGAAATAACTTATAAATAGTTTTCTTTTTTGTCTCCCACCCCTTTCCCCCCCTCATTTTGTTTCTGGAAAGCAGGACCAGCAGAAGTCATCTTTCACCTCAACTCTGTCAAGTGAAGCATCTTGTTCTCTCTCCTCCCCTGAAAGCACTTTCAACTCCCAAGAATCATCGTGTTCCTTGGCATCCAAAGTGGTTTATTCCGAGAGGCAGTCSTGGCTGGACCTGGTGAACAGTTCTGCCACGGAGGAGGGTGATCAGCCTTTAACGTTCTGCGTACAGATTCATGCTGATGAGCCGCCAGAAGTTGTCTGTGGAGATGCAGCAGAAAGCCAGGAAGCTCAGCTTTCTGAACCAAATGGTGGATCCCAAACCTCTTACTTGAATGCAGACACACACTGTCTTGCTGTGCCAGATGCAACAGGACAGAGATCACCAGCCAGAGGTGAGCTAATGAGAGAGGAGATTTTTGCAGAGCCATACAATATGGGAGTTACGGRCTTCCTCAACTTCCTTTCCCCTTCCTTCCTTTATGCTCTTCATTGAAGAGTTTTCCAGTGGCACATCATTTATAACAAACATTTAATTTATTTCACATTAAATATGTAACCTAGTATCTGGTTGGTAGGTTCCTTTACAACTTTTCTCAAATTTTCCCTATGTATATAAATCTAACACAGACATAATTTTGTTAACAGTCTTTATTTCAATGCCAAAATTGATTTAATCAAAATGTTAAGAAAGTGTGTCACAGAATGGATATGGAATAAAATGGAATATGTAGGAAATGGAGTTAGATCAGTCCGATTTTACAAACGGCATTACCAACAGTTGCATTTACTTGAAGTACATACTCCCTATTTGCTTCATTGAGCTTCATTGTAACCAAGAGAAAACTGAAATCCTGAATCAGAAAGTCTATTAAGACTGGATTTTGTTTAAGCTAATAGGTATCTGCACAGTGCCCTCCTACTGAAATGTACTGCTAATTGAAAAGGGTGGCATAGCTCCAGAATTTGGTCATTGTTACTTTTTATAACTCTCCTGTGTAGTGAGGAAACATCTCCCGCCTTTTGAGCAAAACTGCTCCTTTCTGAGTTAAAAGCAGTTGAAGCCTAAGAGTTGTTCCTGGAGTACAATTATGCTRCTCAGAGAGTACATTAGGGAGCAGCAAGGTTCCTGTGCATCAACCCTTTCCATGATTCCAAATCCTTTGGAAAGATTTGAAGTGAGTACTTTGTCACTGAAAAAGAAGGGTTGTCTCAACGCAAAGCTAACAAAGGTGCACTTTAAGGCCTAGGTGGAAGGTAATGCAATGGTGGAAAGAAACAGCACTGGAGTTGTTGGGAACTCAGAGTATTTCTCTGACGGTGAACTTGACACTGAAAGATGACACYATAAGGAACATTAGTTACCTTGTTAGTCCCCCTATTGTTTTACAGCTACCAACATTTAGCAAGTTGGCACCCCTTCATATTATATATTTTTCCGATTTTACAAAAAAAAAGGATATTAAGCAAAGTTTTTAGCAAAGTCATAATTAACTCAGTGTTTATGCTCACCATCATTATTCATTTTCTAGGCTGCTCTGCTGGAAAATTCTGTGGCATTAATCAGAAAGAATTAAAACCCAGAGTGAGCATATGTACTGTTGGTATATGTCAGGAGAGAGTACTATGCTTTGAGAGTTACTGTGGAATCTAATTCCTGTAAGTTCTGGCTTTGCAAATTGTGAAAAGGTTGGGGTTGGCAGAAGCGGAGTCCTTAATGAAAATGACACAATTGTTTTCTGTGATTTTACCTTCTGGKTTAAATTTGGCAGAGTAATAACTTTGGAAACTGTTACTAGGGACAATCAAGTGGACTGTCAGAATTTAGATCATAAATAGTGCAGTGGCTTATAGGTCCTGTTGGCAAAGATTCAGTGGCTGGTTTTCAGAAATCTAAACTTTTGCTTAGAATATGTTGCTCTGGTATTGTCAGCAATCTGCAATAATGCGTAAGTTACTGTTTTCCATAATAATTTAAGGGTGACGAATGCTTTTATGGATGTCTTAGAATTAGCATGACACATTAATAATCATTTAAAGTATAGTTTGATGGGCTCAGCCATACTAACCAATAAAAATGGAATTAAAATCTAAATTAATGCACATTTTGGTATATTCCTGCTGTTTGCAAAGTGGTTTGAGTTTGCTGAGAAGGAAAAAGAAAATGAATTCTTCTCTTGCTCACTGCTTGGCTGATGGGCAACCCTGATGGCAGAACACAGAACAATTCCATCCTTACCCCAGGGGTGATCACTGACAGAATTCCAGAAATAGATAATTTCACCAAGACAGTCACTATGGAAACCCTATCACCTCACAAGTTACTGTCTGCATCATAGTCCATTGCTGAGCAAGTAGATCGTGCAATATACACGGATTTTTCTTTCCTTTGTCAGTCTTCATATTATGAGTAGGCCATGTTGAGTGCTGCTATGTGGGGCCTTCCCCTGCAATGGCCTCTGGAAAAATCAAGGAAATAATTTGAAAGGAGATTAAACTACTTCAATTTGATAATGAGGTAGTAAAAGAAGGATTAATGTAAAGTAGCATTAAAATTCCAACTGAAAGTTATCAAAAAGGATGCAGTTCTGGTTCTGTAGCTTATCCCCCAAGAATTTCCCTCTCCAGCTAGTTGATAAGGATGTGCATGAATACTGTGAGATGAACTCAAGTTCTTTGTAAAATCTAGCTGCAAATTCTCATGATTTACAACAATTGGTAATGTCATCCTTGTTATCTGATGTCACACAAGGAGGCACACTTCAGTGCAGTCTATTATTTGCTTTACAATGCTTCTGAATAGAGCATTTCTGACATGCTTCAGAGTCATGAGACTGCATCCAGGGGGGGACAAGTCTGTCTTGTGTCAACATTTGTCCTGAAAGCACATGTTCCCTGTGTGTACAGATGGCCCTTCTGTCATCAGAACAGAGATGTGGTCTTTGATCCCACTCCACACAGAACCTACGGGTCTTCTGTGCGCTCTCCTTCTCCTGGTGAGGATAAAAAACCCTGCCACCATGTTTTCTGGCCACATTCTGCATGGTAAAAACCCATGAAGAATTTTTGGTTGTAGCTGATAAGAGCTGATAACCCACGACAGGCCTAGAGCTGAGGTGAAAATTTTCTAGAACTGAAGAACACTTTTGCTGGACAAAGTCTGGAAATGGAGACAAGTGTGAGAAAAGATGGTACCTAGAAGGAAGAAAGAGTGGCTGTGGTTTGGTGGGAATAGCTTACCATGAAAAAGTACAAAAACAGTGAAGAAACCTTAGTGATGAGTTAAACAAGGAAAGAAACATTTTTCAAAAATAAATGGATGAAACTCCATGAGAAAAGCTACAGATTCAACTAAATCTACTAAATCAACTAAATCAATGATGGATTATTTTTTCAGCAAAAATTATTTGCTGAACTCTGCTAAGCAACTGTGAGTATCTGGTGCAAAGAGCCATAAAAAGTTGTATTTTAACAATCTTTCAAACCACTCTTAGTGGTGTTGTGAGCATTCTCTCAACATTAAATCTCYGCACCAGTTACTAGGGAGATGTTACATACCAGAGAGTGATACACAGGTACAAAGAAGGGGAATTTATCAGTTTTCTCCTTTGAAAGGAGAGACCAACATTGTATTTCCATTTACTTTTTGGGAATATTTGATACTTTGGTGWTGCAGCTTCCTACATGCACAGCGACAAAAGATTCTGTGCTGCCTGTGATGCAAAGAAACTGAAAGGTAAACAAGAAACAGCTGAGAATACAAAGAGTGATCTGACTACGTGTGCTGCATCCAGAAGCCGGCCTTCCTCCCTCCAGGATGGCTAGACATACTCTCCAGCCAAACTCCATACTTTGTATTTCTTCTGGAAACCCCTGGAACAAAAAGTATCTGACTATGACCCACCACCATTATGAGCTTAAACCATAATAGCAGTAGGAAGCTGCAGGAACTGACAGGTTATATAAGAAAATAGGAATATGTGGTTCRATTTATTTATGGATCCACTACTATAGCAGTAAGATCCTTCTTCCTTGCATTTTCTGGRGGTTTCATGATCAAATGAAATTAATGCATATTGACAAGGCATTCTTATTTTACCACTTCTGGTTTGTTTTACCTTAGCTCACAGTAGCTGTAGRAGAGCTGGTGTGTGCTGATATTTTCAAACCTGGACAGCTTTTCAAATACTGCTTGGATTTTATCTGGGTTGGTTTTGTGGGAAGGAGTTGGTTAAATAGGAGCTGGATTCATTCAATTCCTTCTGTTCTCAGAACTGACATCCTCTTCCCCTCTGGAATCTGTCTGTGCCAGTAATAGCCAGAACAGATCCTCTGATGTGCTCTGGTCCCTTTGTTCCTTCTGAAAATGTTAGATAAAATGCCTAGGTCATGGCTGAGGCTAGTGAAGAAATGTGTCTATGGTGAGAAAAACTGTGTAAAGAAACAATGAGTAATTATTTTGTTTCTCATCAAAAAAGCTTTAGAAATCACAGTGAAAACTATGGTTTTCTGAACTCTCTGAAAAAGAGATACCTATTCATGTTGTTTCCAGTTCAGTCAGTTTATTAAAATTCCATCCCTCGCTGCTGAGTCCACCATACTGTTAGACAGCAGCATCTAACTGTTGGTGATAACATAGATTTCYTATTGTTTTCTACCAGTCTCTCCTACCTTAATTCTTCATTTGCCAGTGAGGAGTTTGYCTGAGCTATGCTCACTTAATTCAAACTTCCCCCATATTTTCTATTCCACAGTTATGTGGGAAATGTGATTTTCCTTCAAGTGACTTCATATTCTCATTGAAAAGTCTACCACCATGGTGGAGAAGGGCTACRGGGTGAATAGACAAATAAGGGCAAAAATACTTTATTACTGTTTTATCTCTGCTTTCCCTAGCCTGGATGTTTGCATTCTCTCCCAGTGGCATCAAAAATTTTAGCAGAATCAGAAACAGAGATGCTGGCAAAGCTACAAGAAACTCAGAGGAGCAGCAAGAACAGGAGGAAGAAGCAGATTTTTTTTTTCTTTTCTTGGGATTAATAGACAACTGGGGGTCTGTGAGATCTCAGTTAAAGAACAGGAGAACAAATATTTACATTTCAGATTAATTTAGTTCTKTTGGAGGTGGTTTTCAATGCAAAGTGCTCTTTCTGCCAAGCATTTCCAGTTTCTATATCTTTACCGCTGGGGAAAAAAAAAATCAGCTTTATTTTCCACAGCTGCTTTTTGAAAAGTTCTGGATAATTTCACTTTGTAGGCTTAAAAAGCATTAAAGGTGATATTTCAGACAGKCTCCTGTATTGATGCTCCAAGATTGGGAGTCTCAGTACCTTAATGTCTCCAGCCTGTGGCAAGCTGGCTGACAGGAGGGCGGAAGCTGAAAATTGAGGAGGTGAAGAACAGGCATTTGAACCTCTGGCAGCTTGTCCTTGTCTGTGATACCTCCTGCTAGAGGGAAATTCCAGATAAATGGCATCAAGCCTYAGGACTGTGTTTTACTTCCCCTAAATCAGAATTTGTCAGCTGTGCCTGAAATACTACTACTATTCCAGCCTAGAAGGTCTCTTCTCTTGAGGATGAAACTATCTCAGTGCAGAACTTCTCTTTTCTTCAGATGAGCACTGGCTCTTTTTCACTAATGCTCACTRTGGAGTCTGGCAAAGTTAAAGGAGATATACAGCAATGTAGACTTTTTCCAGAAGTGTCCTGAAGCCTTAGCAGGCTGTGAGGCTTGGGAGTGAAGGGCATGGTGTAGGATCCCAGGAAGACAGGTCTATCCAGTGGTATCACTCAGTGGGATTGCTTATAGTTAGAAGAGCCAAGGGGAAAAACGTGCAGAGTGCATGTGTTGCCCCCAATTGCAAGTACACCATCATAGATGCACACAATATGTACTGTCCTTGCACTGTGGCCATTTGTTCCTTGMCACTATCCATCAGTAGGTCCTGGGAAGAAAATGAATGTATTTTATCTTCAAAATAGGATGAGATAAAGAAGTGCTSTAGTAGCATTTCAGTTTCCTAACTTGCATGACTGAGACAGAAAGTGCTTAGCTTGAGGAGTGGTTGGTGGAAGAGATAACTTGCTATATTTTATTCTGAAGTGATTTGAAATGTGCCTGATGTGAGCTGTGTGACCCATCTGGAAAGAATCACCCCAGAGCAATGCTAGTGGGGTCCAACATATCCATATTATTAAGATTTTTTTTTTTTTTTGCCAGCAGAATATATTCATCCTTAAAAACCTTCAGAGGTTTAAAAAAAGTGCAAAGCAGAGATGGTACGTTTGTCTGTGTGAGTCTGACACAGATAATCTGTTCATTTTTACACCAAGGCCTGTGGTTATGTACTGTGTATTTTTACTTTGTGATAGAAAGCAAATATTTTGTAACAATTTGGTGGTATGGTCTAGACACCCCAGGTTTCTTTCATAGGAAGAATCCAAATTACTGCAGCCTAAGAGTACAGAACTGGTGATTGCTTGTGCCTCTGTTAGATGTTCCCGGGCAGGTCAGTGTTCTGACTCCAGGTTCAAGCATGCCAAGTTCTGGGAAAGAGTGCCATGAATGAATCTGAAGAAAACCTCCATTCTGTGCTAAAGCCTTGATTCATATTGTTTTATTTCTATTATCCAACTCTAATTTTCTCTCAGGTGTTTCATGGGATAAACAAGCAAGCAAACTACAGGTTTCTGTAGCACTACAGTGCTTTCTTAGTTTATTTTGAGGCATTAAGAAATAGTRAAAGTCATCATTGTGTCAGTGAAGATAAATATATTTTCTTATCACAGATCATTTTCTTGGGCTTGTTAATTGAATGCTAGGTATAATGCCTGTATCCTTCCTCTATTACCTCTCCTGCTTTCAGGTTTACAGCATCAATCTCGGTGGCAGCTTCAAGCCTGCAAAATGTTGGCTTTTTCTTTCTGAACTTGTCTCAGGGGTAACTGAAGCTAAAATTCCGCATAGGTAAGAGGCAGTCTGGCCTCAATTTATTGAGGTTTATTGGCAGACATGTCCTTTGTYAATAGCAACAGTATTTGCTTCTTATGCAAACACACAATATTAGGATACTCTTGTATTTTTTAACTGTAGTTGGAATTAATCAAAAATGGAGACAAAAGTGCTATACAACTTATTCTTGGCTCTACACAACCTGTAAGTTCCAATCACCCTCATTTTCCAACAGTTTGCTGAAATTCCATTTAGCTGCTTTATTGCCACTTCCTTTATSCCCCTGATATGAAGAATCAGACACATTTCTTTCCCTTTAAAATTACATGACCCTGATTAATCCKTTGGAGGATGAGAATGGTGGGAGAATAATAAATAGCAGAGGAGCTTCAGGTAGCAGTCTTRAAAATCTGCAGGAGCTGAGTACATTTTGCTGGGCAAGCACATCATCTGGGAGCCTTCTCCTGGGCTTTTCTGACTTTGGCTCCATCTTTTTCTGTGCTGAGTGTTACTGTCTTGCTTACAGTTACCAACAAGTGCATGGAAGATCCCAGAAGCATGGAAGAAGAATGTTCAGTGCTTCATATTTGCTGCTTTGTAACCCTTTTAGGACACTGAGTTTTGAGTTAGCCTCGAAAGGTATCTGGAGAAGGGATATTAAGTCCTTTATGGGTTGATTTTATCTAAAAGTTGCTGGACAGGATTGAAGCAATCTCTTTTTCTTCTCACACAGTCTTTCTTGAAGAGCTGATAAAAGTAAATTTATCTCTGCAAGTGTKACTGTGCACAGTCCTGATAGGTGCTGTCCACAGCGGAGTTGAGCCAGTCCTGTGCAGAGTCTGGCTAATGAAACAAGCAGCTGCTTCATCCCAAGAAAGCAGGCAGGAAACTAGCTATTACAAACCTCATGGCATGAGCCAACAGTTTTCAGGAAATACTACTGCCGTGTATTATGCCTTACACTTCCATTTTTTTCTATTTCCTGCAGCTTGTTAAATATACAACAGTTCTCCTTTTCCTCCCTCAGCAATGTACCAATGTTGGAAGTTATATTTAGTTTTTGTCAAGTTACAGTAGGCTTTTTATAATCACACAGTAGTGAAGAATAGGCCAGCAATGCAGCGAAGGCAAATATTTGCAGCATATCATAAACCTTTCTTGTAACCTAAATATTTAGAAAGAACAGAGATGTAGGAGGATGCTGTACTTTATAAAGCACGGAAAAGATAAGAAGCAGCCTCCTAAGCATGCTGACATATTGCAGAAGWCTTTTAGTTGCAGCATGAGTGAGCAAAAGGACTTGTTCCCTTTGTCCAAAATATATTTGCTGACTGCAGAAGATTTAGAAAAGTAAATGTTTCACTTTTATTTAAAAGAAAAATATCCAGCCAGTTCAATGGGCATAGAGAGAATTGCAGCTGAGAAAAACCAACATCACTACCCCCAGTGATATAAAACCAAGTGTTATCTGAAGTGGGTCATGAGGGATTCATTAGCACCATGAAAACAGCAATAGCTGTAAGATTTTCCTTTAAATATCASTGAAGCAGTGTGGACTGAAGGACAAGAAGTTGCGCAGTCTGTTTCTAAAAATGGCCTTCTGCTAAATGCCCCTACATGTGCCTGGTACATTTTTAGTTTCCATCTGTTCATTTTTAAGTTGTTTTAGTCTGAGAAATGCCTTTGCTTCAATTTTCRTCTTATTTTATGCTATTTTCAGCTGTTTACTTGCTTTTCCTTTCATGTACTCTCTGTCTTGGAATATGGTCCTGCAGTTTGGGAGACATCAGAATAATTAAGGTGGAGATGATCAAGGCTTTGTTGTGAGGCACTACAAGCAAATTCYCTGCTGCAATCTGTGAAACTCAGGGATGAGACATTAAATGCCCCGAGGGTTCTGGCTTTAATCTGTTTTCTTGGGACCTTCTATTGGGGCCACTGAAATGCTTCTATGTTTCATTTAAGTGCTCAATTTTTTAAAACTCAATTTTCAATAATTACCAAAACTTGGTGATGAATCAGCACACCTGAGAGGATTTGCCCTGTGAGTTGCCAGGTAGAAGCGCAATCCACTGCGTGTAGCATGCAGGGAAGGGTGAATGGGTGTAGAATCTATCAAAGTGGTTTCATTCAAACATGGACTTACTGACAGTTGTTAAAAGTTTGTGACATATTCAGAGCATTAAAGCAGCACTCTTAGTAGAGATACAGGCTCATATCAGTTTGGGTCATCACCTGATTCTTAACAACATTTGAGTCTGGGAGTTGTCTTTCTCATGGGTATTATTACCCTAGAAATTACCCTAATTGCCCTCAGTTTTAACTCTAATACCATTACTTTTTGACRTGGTTGAGAGATTTCCTGATGGCTGAACAGAACATTTCTGCTATCTGCTGCCACGTTCATRTTCTCATACCCAATTTATTCTTTTCTTTGAAGACCAGGAAAAATGTGATGATGATGACGAGATGGAGCGACTTTACAAGTCATTGGAGCAAGCAAGCCTGTCTCCCATTGGTGATCGTCGGCTGTCAACTAAGAAGGAGCTTAGGAAGTCATTTATCAAGCGCAGCAAAAAYCCCTCCATTAATGAGAAACTCCACAAAATTCGAATGCTGAACAGTACATTAAAGGTGAGTTCGCAGATCTTGCCAAGGAAATGCCTGAGAGAAAGAAAAAGTTTGGCTGAAAAAAGCAGCAGTATAGGCTTCAGCCAAACTCTAATTACATATTTACTGAAAGCCCCAGAGAATTTGGTTAAGTCTTTGAATTTTTTTTTCCGCTTCATTGTGAATACTGATCTGTGTTTTGTTGTTCAATTTGAACTGGAAGCAGAGGCAATAGCTCAGGAGGGACTCTTCTTGCAGAAGTTCCAGCCCATTTGGAAAATTTAATAAAGAAAACCTCTCTTAGTTAACTGGAAAACTTGCAAGCTCAGCTGAATACAATAAACAGGGGAGTCTTAAAAAAGGAAGAGCAGACAAAGTACATTGACGATAAAGGACATGAAAATGACCCTGAGCCAAAAAAAGTTTTCCTTATGTGATTATTAGAGAATGTACAGGATGTGCCAAAGCTATTCTAAAGACCTCCTGTAACTAAAATATTTTTAATAACAAAAGCATCCTGCTTTTATGTTGGAAATATATCACAAACTGGAGGGGTGCAGGGGTTCAGGWGATGTTCCATGAAAGGGCCAGTAAATCAGTCTGGAATATGGGGATTTATCGAGCCAGCATCAAGCGTCACGGGATTTCAAAGGCTGCTTCTAAATGGTACTGAGGGAAACAGAAAGCTTAACTACAACATTTATATTACAAAGAGAAGAAAGAAAAAAGGCAAACTTGGGACTTCAATGGCTTCTTTTTATATGCATTAGAAGCAGGAATTGAGTATCTTGTTTAACATGTATGTATTTGGCTTCATGCACTGTAAGCTGGAGAAATGCATGTAAAATGGTTGGACTTGATGATCTTAGAGGTCTTTCCAACCTTAGCAATTCTATGATTGTAAAAACCTCYTATCAGCACGATCATTGGTTTGATTATTACTTGCAATTGGAGTCTTGGCTTTGGCACCTCAGCCTGTATTGAAATTCCTGAAAGATACAATTGTAAAGAGAACTGGGAATAGAGGCATTCTTTCTGGCTCCATATGAAATCTAGAGAAGTCACTCCTTAGTATCAATGAGTTTTCAGTCCTATGGCAGTGACTACAGAAGTATTCATTTGCACAGCAATAAAGTGAGCCTGCCACATAACAGAAAGTTCATTTAAAAAGTATGCATATTTTATAGAATAGACCTGCAGAAGCATTCTGCAAGGTTTTCCCTGATAGGAGCCTCACTAACAAATCTAAGAACCAGTTAGTACAAAATGGAGTTGTGTTTTGTCACTTTCATCAGTGAGGAGCTGAATGGAAGCCTTAATGCCAGACACGAGCAGGGAGGACAATGGTGCACTGATTTAGCATGGGAGCATTGTTTAAGTTGTGATTAACAGTGTTTGTCAACTTAGATTTGCCTAACACTTATATTTAATATGGAAAAATAAGTTTTGGAGTGTTYATAGTGTATAAAATGTGTTGATTACTTATGGTCTTTTGTTTTCTCTCTTCAAACTCAGAAACTGGAGTATTGACAAGACAAATATAGCACAGACACTTTCTCATAGACACAAACAGAGTTCTGTGCACAGCAGTGTTTAAGTWAGCCTGTCTGAAAAGCAAATGCCTGCAGTGGGAAACTGCCATATTCTTTACATGAGTGGAATTATGTACTTTTAAAGTCAAATTTTCTTAAAGTATAGTATAAGACATAAGGTAATTGGAAATTATCTACTGGAAATTTAAAAATCAGGATATTTTTTGCTTCTGATTCATATGTACTCTGCTTTAATTAAAACCCTATTAGTTTGAGAAGTGATTTATGCAAGTCTCAGTGCAATTTYATTTTTAGACTTTTGACTCCACATATTTAACAACAGATTAATGTTGCTGCCACAATATATCATTAACAAAACATGCTTAGAATACTTTGGAAGAGAAAGCAGCTATGTGCAAGTGCTCCACAGTCTTAGTGAATGTGGGAAATAGATTTAGTGCTACAGGAGAAATTCCATGGCATGAATTTTTGCTTCCAAGCTGGTCCAATAGAAATACTCCTCTCCATTCTACCTCCCTATCTCCTCTCTTCTTTTAAGCTAACTGCACATGTGTCTGCATCAAGGTCAGAAGTCTTCTTACAAGGGCTGGCTGGGTCTTGAGGGTAGGATGTGTATAAACTTCAGATGAACAAGTTTGATGTTCAAAAAGCAGCCAAGRYRTCMYAAAGATRGGAGCAGCTGAAGRTTCATTAGTGTAGTAGTAAGATATKGATTTGTAAWGAGCTGATTGCTGCTATCAGAAACTGAAAKGAATGTGTGGGAGTACTTTCAAGATGTTTTCAGGGCAGCCACCAGCACGGAGTGTTTTTGGGTGTGATGGACGGGTGGCAGCAGAAGATGGTTAGAACTGTTCCATCACTTTCACACTCAGACCGGAGGGATGGAGCCTGGCAAAAGCAGTTAAGGTTTGTTAGTGCAGCATGGTGCTTCCGTGAAGAAATTGTAGCTGCTAACTAGGGCTTCTCTATCCTGTGGTCTACTGTATAGAGCTGTATGAGGAAGGGGTTTGGACCAAATGWCTTCCAGAGGTCCCTTCCAAGCTCAACCATTCCATAGTTCTGGCATACTGAGTCTCAGTGTCCCTGCRTCAGTCTGCTCACATCTTACAAGTGAACCAAGGTGCCTGCAATAGATGGTCTGAGCTGCTCTTGCTTGAAAGCAGATACCAGATTTATTACTGGTAGCTGGTGGTAGGTGGCAGCCACATGTGCTGTAGCCACTCCACTGCCAGTGCACAAATCATATCCAAAATTATGTTCAGTCTAGCTTCCAAAGAAGTGACATTTATAATGTGGAGTAAGTATTTTCTGAGAAAGTTAAAACTGCTGTGAATTACAGAAGTAAATGCTGTTGTGTCTGGTTTCRTGCAAGTACTGTCTGCTTGAAAGACATCTTAACAATGTGTAACTTCCATTCCTCCACATCACCTGAATCTTGTCTCAYGAAGTTTTGTTAAGAAGCCTATAAAAAAAAATCTAGATGAAATCACAACTTGCCTTTAACTGGGAAGAATTTTTGCAGTAGACATAACTTTGATGACCTATGCTCTAAAAGAGGGAACAAGCTGCCAGGAGGACAGATATTGGGCCATCTCCTTGTAACGTGGCTCTCTAACRTTCCCAGAGTGTTTCTGTATGGACAATGACCTTGAAGGTTTCTGTGGAAATAACCTCTTGTTCTCTTCCTAGTGTAAGGAACACGACTTGGCCACAATTAACCAGCTGCTCGAGGACCCAAAGTTGACAGCGGTGAAGTACAGAGAGTGGAGGAGCACAAACATCATGCTGGTCCAAGATATTTACCAGCAGCAGGAGGTCCAGGACATGTCCACAGAGAACCGTGAGGAGCAAGAGATGACTCCACAGCCAATCACTGAAAGTGCTATTTGATCAATGGCTCATTGCAAGGTTTTTCTCCACGGGTCTTCACATACAAGCAATGTAAGCTGCTGTATCCTGAGRTTTGTTTTTCGCAAGTGTTCAAAAGGAAAACAACCCCTTCTCCAAAGCATTGATTGCTCTTGCAGAATTCATTTAATGTCAAAAGGGAAAGTCTCCRAGTTCAAAGAGCATGCCTGAACCTGGCCTGCATACTGGAGAAGAGTATTTAACAAAGCAGCGAAGAAATGTTTGTCAGTTTTTGGAGTAGAAAATTCTGTGTCCAGCTCCTGGAAGGCACAGAATTATGAAATACGTACTGTATAAATATGAGGTCCTTGGGATTGTCTTAACCATTTTACCTTGAAATGAAGCTAAACTGATACCAGCAGGATGTAGTCTACTCTACCTTTTTACCCTCTACAGTAACCTGTTGTATGCATTTTCATCTCTTCATCCATTTGTTTTCACCACTCCATGTTTAAACTGAGACAAATGGAAGAGTAATTATTTTATTCTAGAGATGGCTGCCAGATGACCAGTTTGAGCTCTGCCTGATGTTTTATGAGTTTCAATTTATCTATGGTCCAGGCCAAGAAGGTACTGTCTTTCTACGTGAAGAAGAGAAGGTCTCTCAGTTTTTGCGAGCATGTAATTTGCTCTTCAGTGAGACAAGTTTCAAGGTTTCTTATGGACTTGGCAGAATTCCTTGGAAGATTATGCTCTTCTTTCTTATTTTTGACAATTGGGAGTATATAAGGTACAAGCTCATCCTAGAGTCCGACTTAAGGAAGGTGATCAAGTTCACAAGGCAGAAGCTAAATAACTAAACTCCTCAATGTGGACCTGGAAGTGTAAAACAAAGCTGCAAATATTTTTGTAAATAGATGTAATTTTATGGCTTATATGAATGTGACTATGTACTGTATAGATGTTTTATTTATATATTTATATATGCTGAATTTCCTAATATAAATAGGCACATGTGGACCAAACCAACCCAGATGCGAGTGCTTATARGTTGACTTGAAAAGCCTCTTCGGTTTTTATTGCATTATAGATCACAGTAATGGCTCTACAGCTGAGACTACCCTGAGACATCTGCTGTGACTCTTTCTTCTGCTTTTCTAGCTTTAAATTTTAGATGAAGAAAATCTGTAAAACTTAAGGCCTGAAAAAAAGTTTTCTAAAAAGTTTCAAGGTTTCCCTTTAGGGAAACTAAAATAAGAGGTTTTGCKGCAGGACCATGATTTTTTGGCTTCATTCTCCTCAGTACAAGGTTTTGGTTTTTTGCCTTCCCCTCTTCTGCAGTATAATGAATTTTGCAGAGTGCTGAATTTTGTAAAGCAAGAATTAGCGCACCATTCTCAAATTAATGCCACTACAGAAATTGTGACAACCTGYACTTCCGTTGCTATTTCATAAAGATATTATTTGTCAATAATTTTCAATAGAGTTTATCTTTAAAAGAAAACTACACTATAGAGATGCAGTCATATTAATCTGTCTTTATACATTATATGTTTTATCATAGTTGGTCTGAGAAACCAAAAGGTAATGGTGTTAATAGGAACATTTGAAATCTTTTCCATCTGTGTAGTGATTAGTTTGACTGTTGATATTACATTTTTAATACTCAGCAGCATTTCTTTTAAAATAGGGACATGGAAATAAATGAAAATGAATAAATGGGGAAGCAGACACAAATTTTTGGATGGTTAACTATCCTTTTCAGGAAATCATCATATGAGTGGTGATTTCACCACTTTACTAATTCTAACTAGAAGTTGACAGACATTAAGCAAGCTTAATACCTGGTGCAATTTGGTTTAGAGTAATTGCATCTTGAAAATGGAGCCCATTTTTAGGTTACTTTTTTTTTTTTTTTTTAATTTTTCTTTCACCATTCCCATTGAAATGCTGTCAGTTAACTTCTGAGAGCACCCAGAAAATTAGGAGTGTAGGGATTAATCTGCTTGGTCCATTTAATTTTTAACTACCTGGTGCTAAGTAATTGATAAATATTGGAGGTCGAATTGCATGGATGTTTTCTATCACACATATGAGTTTCTTTTGAAACAAAGCATGTAAACACCATTTTTCTTCCAAAGCATCTGCACCTAGATGTTGAAAAGAAGCATGTGTTTAAGTGGCCTGCTGAGCTGGGCCAGGAAAGTCAGTGCCTTGCAGTTCTGAGTAAAGTCCTAGTGAACTCCATTTGCTAAAGCAGATTTGCAGTACACAAAGAAAAGCACCATGTGTCCTGTACATGCTGTGGYGGCTCTTTTCACACTGTGTTTGGGTAAGCATAGGCAAAACAGCTTTCCCAAATATAGAGACAAGCAAATGCCCTTGGACTGCCCAAACTCTGCCATTGGTTCTGTCAGATTACATAGCCTAAAATTGCTTTTACTCTCTTTCTGATAGTCAGTAGATCCTTATTGTTGAACTCTTGAGGTTTTGGAGACCTGCTGAGAAAGGGCTGTATCACTCCTCAGAAATGAACAGAAMATTCTTCAATGGGGTTGCTTTAATCCAGTTACCATTTTACAAATTTATGYGTTCAGGAAAACAAATGTATGGATTTGATGCAAGTACTGTGCAGGAAGTCTGCTGTCTTCAGCTACTACATAGATCCAAAAAAATGAAAAGCRTGGAAAATGTGAGGTGAAAATTGCAGTAAAACAGGATTAATTTTCTGGCATTACTAATTACTGTGACAGTTTTTGCCTGGGTTTATCACAAGGGGCTGCCCAGCAGTGTGAAAGCCATAATCGGACACAGAATTACGCACAAGCTGACAGCTACAGCGGGGAGCCACCTCAACAGGAGAAATTTAGACACATCCATGCTCTGCTCAGTGATGCTTGGAGTAACTGGTATTTCTTGGTCTGGATTTGGAAGATCTGCACTGTTGACTCATAGCGCAGGGAGCTGTGCATCCCTCGTGTGTGAATGTCAAGAAGTCTTTAATCATCTGCCTCAAGGGACTTGTTTTATGTTTATACTTTTTCAGGAGAAAGTGTGAGTGCATGGACATGTGCACATGCACAATTATGCCTCTGTCATTAAAGCCAGYTGGTGCAGCAATGCAGATTTTGGGATTACTAGTAACAATGTCTAATTTCAAGTGTTTCTGCAGCTTTTCTGGAAATTGAATCTCTCTGTTCTGGTGGCGTATATCTCATGAGCTACCAGAATGAGGTGGGGTCATATTTCCTTTCCTGTGATGGGAGAGAATTCATGTGGGGATTGTGAATAATTTTTACATCTGGTTCTGATGATTCAATCAATACTAGGGTTTCACCTTGTCATGGTTTTAAGTCCAGCTGGAGATAAAACACCATGCAGTTGCTTGCCCAGGCCCCCTCTCTTTTCCCTCTCCACACCAGGGAGGAGAATTGAAGTAAAACTTGTATGCTGAGATAAGAACAGTTTTGCAATTTTAAATAAAGTAAAATACAATAATAATGATAAATAATAATGATAATAAAAAGGAAAAAAAAATAAAACCCAAGCAAGAGATGCACAAGGCAATTTCTCACCATGCCCTGACCTGCTAGACCCCTCCCGGAACCCAGATCAGGCTCCCCTTCTGGATAACACCCCCAGTTTATACACCAGGCATGATGTTCTATGATGTGGAATATCTCTTTGGTTGGTTTGAGTCACCTGTTCCAGTTATGCTCCATCCCAATTTATTTACTTGTGTACTTTCTCACCGGCAGAGCATGAGACAAGGAAAAAAAAGTGACTTGGACTTAGGATAAACACAACTTACCAAGAAACCAAAACATCAGTGTGTGATCAACACCATTCTCATTCTGAATCCAAAACACAGCACTGTAACAGAAGAAATTAACTCKACCTTAACTGAAACCAGGAATAAACAGGGAAAATGTGTTACTTCTCTTTTAAAAATAATTTTAATTTTGGATGAAAGCTTCATTTTGAGAGAAAAGACTGTTTTGGGACAGCCAAGGAGGGAGTGAAATAAAAAACGTGGTATTTGATTTAAAACTCTGTGGAAATTCAGAATTTAAAATTCTAACTTGGAAATTTTAACTTATTTTAACTAAATTTTAACTAATTTCTAACTTGGAAAAATTATGGGCTTGTTACATCAATTGCGTGAGCCTGTAARCTTACATGTCTATTACAGATTTAATATGAAAACCTGCATTTTAAAACTTTTCAATAGCAAAGGAGGCCATGTCCTCTCATACTTGTATGACCAGAACTCCATGTATCATGGGTGGGGTTTGGGTTTGTTTTTTTTTTTTCTGTTTTGCTTAAAAAAATATGCAAAAAGCAGCCAATTGCAATGAGGGCCTGGGCTTACTACATTTATACGAGACATGTCTTTCTGCTAACAGGAAACTRAAGTGCAGTAGTAGAGCCAAAGTGGAATTTCCTGTTTCGTGTGGGGCATTTCAAAGCAGCAGACATTTTAAATGTCAGTGAGCATTTCCTTGATGCTTGAAGATTTATCCCATTTTGGTTTGCTTCAAGCTGCAACATTCTTGCATTTTAAAAAAACTGGCTTCAGTATGAACTGAAACAAAATTTAAGGTGAAAAAAAGAAAACAGAACAGAARAAGCTCTCAGCTAAGAKCAGGCTGAAATTCACATCTCTGCATAGGGTAATGGGAGCTTAGCTTGCCAAAAGCTAAGCATTTCAACACTGAAGAAAGATTGCAAGGTGTTGAAAAGACTACCACATTCCTTGAAATTTGCTATGGGAGAAGTTCCAAGACTTGTCTGCTCTGGAAAAATGAATATTTTCCTAATTTATTTCCTCCCCATAAAAATCCAAAGGGAGTAGTTTATAAACTGGCAGCAAGTTAAAGATGAAATACGAGTATAATTCATTGATGGCTCRACAATTTTAATGTATGATCTGGAAATGATTGACTTTAGCTGACTCAGCCCATCAAAGAAAATTCATTTATTTGGGAAAGCATTGTAGCTACCAGTGCCTGAAGCTGATGCACCCCATCTGGTTCACGTGAGGTCTGTTTTGAGGATGTAGGTGAATGGTCTTTCTATAGGGCAAATAGCTTGTGTCATCATATCATAGCCTAGGAACCACTCCCTGTGTCCTAGATGTCTTAGGACCTACCCAAATTATTCTCTTGAAGTTACTTACAGCTGTTTTGACTTCTCCCAACTAAAACTTTAAAACAAAAAAAAAGGGGATATGAATATATAACTCCCACTCCCATGTGAAGAGAAACTAGCACCAGTCTTGCAAAGATTCATGTCAGTCACCTAATTTATGAGTGTTTAGCAAAATAATTCACCTTGAAAAGCCACAGGTACACACAAATAGCAGTGCTCTTGTACACACAAATAGCAGTGCTCTTGTGCAAAGCTCCCAGGGCTGAGGGCTGGCCCAAAGGAAGAATGGGTGTGTCCATCCCATTGTGCTCGGTGTGGAGAGGGAAAGTCATGCAGACAGGAATATTTGCAAGGACATCTATCAGGCAGGGGCAGGGCCTGCAGCACCATGAAAGCATATGGAATCCCAGTTTGGTCTTTTTTTTTTTTTTTTTTTCAGTGGTTTAAAACTCACAGCGCAATGTTGGCACTCAGCGCTGCCTTTTTACTGCTTGTTGCCCACACGTGTGAACTGATTTTCATGGAATGATACACACATCTTGCAGAAGGAGAGACTTATGTTTGCACTTGTCAATTAAACACTGAAATGAGAGAATATTTTGCTCAGCCTTTTTTTTTTGTTTTGTTTGATTCTCACTGCAGATTTTTCAGTTTATGCTATAAAATAAAATAAGTTTTTGCTGGTTCTTGAAACAAGCAATTTCCCTGTGGGATAATATTATTAAGTTGTGTCATCTGAAATCTTCCAGAAGAGTCAATGAATGGTTTGACTGAGGAATGCCCTCTATTAGTTTGCAAGGTAATATTTGAAAATGCTGTTAAATTAGTTAACTCTCTTTAACTGGTTGTTGTTGGCACCCTTTAGGAAGATTAGTCTCTTCTGACAGGTACAGGATGTTACTGGATTTTTTTTTTAGCTCACAGAACAGCCTGTTTCAATTAAAAGAAGATCAGGATTTTTGTCAGAAAGGTTTCAGTTTAGCTGGATAGGCCAGCCAGGCAGCAGTATGGTGAAAGTGTGTTTCCTAGGAAATGAGCTCATCCTAAGGGCTCAGCTGAAGGAAGAATGTCCCTGTCTCTGTCCCTCTGTTCCTCCAGCCTCCTCCATGCTCCCACTGCTTGCCTAGGGCAGCTCATCATTTGGCACCTCTGTCAGCTCAGCCGAGTCAGGCAGCAGGGAACAGACATCGCAAGCTGGATACTCATCCACAGTGATGACAACTTAAAATGTCTTATGGAGAAGTTCAGTGCCTGACATGGTCCTCAGAAGGGAAGCAGCTGGATTCTGTAGGCAGAAGCAGAAGGAAGATGAGCTGAGTAAGTGGGAGGGAAGAGGTATAATTTCTTCTTTCAGAAGCCGAGCATAAGCTCGACTTAGCTTCCCATGAAGTTATACCTTTGCTTCCACCAAGCCATGATTTATCTTTTCCCCCCTGCCAGACACGGAGCTGTGAAGACAACCTCAGGAAACAGTTTTCATATGATCTCAACCTGTGCTCTTGCTTTCAGTGCCTGATGCACAGCCAAACATTTTGTTTCCAAAAAGCCAAACTCTACAAAAAAGCATCCAGTGATATCTCTCCTGGCATGCTTGCTGTGGGAATGCTGACAGGAGAGGCAGTGGGACCCCGAATGTCTATCCTTGTTCCTGCTGTGACCCCGCAACTCAATGTCTTGGGGTGCCTCTTGTTTGGTTCTCGCTTTTGCTTTACACCCTCTTGTGGTAGCACAAAACATAAGCGGTTCCAACTTTCCACAAAGGTATAATTGAGTTGCTCATCATGATTTGGACATTTGTCTTTTGTCTGCTTGAAAAATCCTGCTGGGCTTTGTTTGGCTTCCTGAGAGGTTGGGGATTCCCTGTGAGTTTGGGGTCAGCACGATCACTGGCAGCACAGAGGGCAAAGGCACCATCCTGGCATCTGACCCTATTTCATCACTACTTATTTTGGAATGACTTAGTCATCATTCTTCTTATTGTGGGTTTTTCTTACTGCTGGAAGAAAGTGCCTACTGTCAGTGAGAAAGTTCCTGTATTATCTTCCCGTTCTCAAGAAAAATCCTCGTTGTCACTAGGGGATGTTTAAAATTGTCTAACAGAAGCCTTGGCAGTGCATGGGATGTAGCATACAGGGACAAACCGCTCTGAAATTTGGATGTGTTTCTTCCTGGCAGAGTGCGGTCAGTCTTGGGCAGACAAGAGAGTTTTTGTACGGCCGGTGGGAAAGCACAGCTTCTGCAAGCGGATCTCGGCGCGTTCCTGATGGAGAAAACTGATCCCTCAG